GCGTATGTGCCATTTAAGCTCTGTGTCTTGCAGGAACGGCTGGTGGTGGAGAACGCAGACTGGCTGGTTGTGGTGCCATACTGGGCCACATGGCCCTACCAGACCCTGTTGCTGCCCCGTCGCCATGTGTGCCGCCTCCAGGATCTCAAAGACGGCGAGAGAGACAGTGAGTGGCTCTGAACCTTGTTAGCCCTCGTCCTGTGTACTTTGGGTTTGACCTTTGGTAGGAGGCAGCTCTGTGGCAGCCTTGCTGGTGCTGGAGGGCCTGTGTCCCCTTGGGGTGTGTGGGGCTGTTGAGCTTGGTTGAGGAGGGGACTGGCACCCCTCTTTTGTTAGGATAAGAGCTTCCAGGCATAGACAGTACTGCTGGTGGGACTAGTGTCCTTTTTGGGTTGATGAAACGCATGGTGCTCCCTGTATTTGGGGCGTCCTCCTGCTGCGTTGCTCGGGCTGTCTGCATGAGTGGGAAAGGGGGGGAAGTACCCCTCCCAGGTGAATCCCTCCTGCCTGTCACTGATGTCTACTGAGGGTGACCCCCTGCATGCCTGGCACACTGCCTGCCCTCAAAGGGAACTGGCCAGCTCAGGGATTGACTCACTGGCACTCTTCTGCAGGCCTGGCCGCCTGGCCTCCATCATGAAGAGGCTGCTCATCAAGTATGACAACCTCTTTGAAGTCTCTTTCCCCTACTCCATGGGCTGGCATGGTGAGTGGTGTGGCTGGGAAAGCCCCACAATCCTGTCATCTATGTTCCTGTCCCCTCCCTGGGGCTCATGTGCCACCTATATCCCTGGCAGGAGCCCCCACGGGCACCTACCTGAAGGAGGACTGCAGGCACTGGCAGCTCCATGCCCACTACTACCCACCCCTGCTCCGCTCTGCCACTGTCCGCAAGTTCATGGTGGGGTATGAGATGCTGGCGCAGGTGCAGAGGGACCTCACCCCGGAGCAGGTGAGTGCAGCTCACAGGGATTGGGAGAACCAGGGGATCCTGTGACAGGGCTGTCCCTGGCAGCAGACACTGGGTGCCCCTTTTGCTGTGCCTGGCAGGCAGCTGAGCGCCTGAGGAGCCTCCCCGAGGTGCACTACAAGCACAGAGCCAAGGAGACGTCATGATGGGGAATAGTGGAGCCACTCCTCAGGTATGAGTGTGAGTGGGGGACCTCATTGCTCTCTACAATTACCTGAAAGGAGGTTGTAGCCAGTTGGGAGGTCGGTCACTTCTCCCAGATAGCAAGTGATAGGACAAGAGGAAACAGCCTCAAGTTGTGCCAGGGGAGGTTGAGACTGACAAGAGGAAACAGCCTCAAGTTGTGCCAGGGGAGGTTGAGACTGGATATTAGGGAAAATGTCTTCACTGAAAGAGTGGTCAGGTATTGGAAGTGGGAAGTGGTGGAATCACCATCCCTTGAAGTGTGCAAAAATCATGTAGATGTGACACCTAGGAACGTGGTTTAGTGGTGGCCTTGGCAGTGCTGGGTTAATGATAGATGTCTACAATTATGTTAGTTTACGTGCTTGGTAAGACCAGAAGTCAACTGAGACTGGTGAGGACTGAGGCCTGGAACTCATGTCACTTGTGAGCCCTTTGAACACCCAGATTCTTCTGGGCCTTGTCACATCTTGGCCAGGTTTCAGGACTGGTTTTGCCTGTTCAGGTACTCCAGGCCTAATCCTGTGGCTTCCTCACATAGGTGGTGCTGTCTCTTTCACCATCCCAGGCTCTGTCTTCTGCCTCCACAGTGTGCTTCTACCACCAGTAAAGGACTTACCTGTCTTACCAGTCCAGTCTCACTGGTGGGACTGCTTCCTGCCCTGTGGAGGGGCACAACCCCTGGACAATAAAAACTGTAAGCAAAGTGCCTCTGCCGGTGCCCTTGTGGCTCTCAGGTCTGGGTGTGAGGTTTGGGGCCTCTGGTGGAGACCCCCAGCTACTGGGGGAGGTAACACTTGGGTTTGCAAGGGATGTGCTGGCAGCCCCATGCCTCTCTCTCCTGTCCCTGCCTCTGCGCTGCCTCCTTTTGCTCCCTGGGGGGAGCTCTGAGTCTGTCTCTGAGTACTGCAGGCTTGGGCAGGAGTGGGAAGCAGTGAGGAATGGATGCAACCCAAGGCTTAGCCAGCTTCTGGGAGAGGGGTGAGTCCCAGCAAACTCACTGCATGGAGGCTGCTGGCTGGGATGCTCAGCGCTGAAGCTGCTCCTCTTCATCCTCTCTGCCTGGGACTGCTGGGCAGCAGCCCTTGTGCTGACTGCTGTGGGTAGTGGGGCTGCTGCAGCCAGGGGCTGGTTAATCACTAGCCCAGGGGCTGCGGGAGGGGGCCAGCTTTCTTTATGGTGCTGCTGCCCCCTTTCGCCTTCCCTGTGCCCACCCATAGTGTGGGATAGTGGCAGCCTGGTTCCTGGGCTGAGCTGAGGGATGCTGTATACACCTCTGTCTGTTCTCCTCCCTTGTAGCCCCTTCCTCCAGGCAAACACCAGGGCTGTGCGGACAGTGATACCTCCACAGCTAATGAGAAGGGAAGCCGAACACTATCTACTCTCACGTCTTCGCACAAGTAGTTTTTATTTGTATATACATAACTCTGTAGCGAAGTCCTTATCCTTTTCAAGTCTGTGAGTTGAGCTCCTGGGGGGCTAGAAATACCTTGCAAGGAGAGAAATGCTCTCCTCTTACCTACAAGACAACAGTTTGTGGGGAGGGCAGTGTTCCCTCTGCCCCACCTGTGCATCGCTCCCCTATCCATCACCTATCCATGGGACTGGGGCAGGTAGAAGGGCCTGCCCTGCATGATGCTTAGAGCCATGCTGGATGTCCTCCTACCTGCTGGTCCTATCTTTCTGCCTGATTGTCCCATCTTGGAGCCCACAGGCTATCTCACACCTGGCCTTGGGGTTTTGGAGAGGCAATGGTGGTTTTTGGAGTGACCCTTGAGCTTGGAGCCATCATTGTACACAGCAGGCATAGGGGTTGCCAGCTTGGAATCTGGCATCTTCTAAACTGATTTCTTCCCTCTTGGGACAAACAGTGTCCGTTTGGGCTCTGTGACCATCCTGATTGCAGCCCTTATCCCTTCTCCTCGCAACAAGTACATTGCCGCCAACCTCTGAACTTCCTTACTCTCCCCAGGGTCCTG